TTGTACCGAAAACCAAACGTGGCGTGATTCAAAAAGGACTTTGTGAACAACAAAGAGGGGAATGACTTAGCCAAGAGATCTATGGGTTTCCCCCTCAACTGTCTTGATGTCTTTTATTGTCCATCCATCTGCCATTACTACTGTTTTAAAAATGTGTGTTAATTGTCACAGGGATGAAAAGGAAAGCAGGGGGAATACAGTCAATGGGACTGTGAGGAGGTTGTATGGGGGCAGGTGGCAGCCACACTCACAGGGAGCACAGCTCATGACCAGACTTGTCCAATCACTGTTGTGCACCCGACACCGCAGTACTGTTGTGTGTCGATCACACAATTACACCGTGCTACACGGAAAGAGAAGTCCTCACCTAACTTCATACTTAGAGAATCCCTCTAGAGTACAGAAGAGGTACACGTCCATCCCTGTGATTTAAGAAGTTATGCAGTACACACCATTACCTGTTTGAGTGCGGTCAATCTTACGAAGCTGAAACTTTACTGTTAATTAGACTTCAGATACTCATAGATCGGCTTACATAAAATACCTGGACTTTGGAAACTTAAGTACAAAAATAGACTTGATAACTAAAACAAACAACTGGTCTGCCTAGAGCAGGTGTACTCTGTGAGGCGGATGCACCGGGGGCAGTGGGCACTGTCTGTGGCAGGGCTGCTGTCAGCCTGTGGCCCCAAGGCTCCTGGCCGCGACGGGGCTGGCAGGCCGCCCCTCCTGTCGGAGGTGAGGCCTGCGTCTGGCCAAGGAGAGCAGCATGTTCCAGGAGAAAACTGTCAGCACTCTCAGGCACTTTTCAACTACACATTCTCAGCAAACTGGCTCCTGATTCTACGTATCTCACTCGGATCCGAATATTCATTCTATAACCCAGGTGTACGGAACTGGAACCACGCTCCCAAGATGGCGGCACTGCATAACAAGAGGGCTTCCGAATAAAAGGCAATTGTGGTCAATAGCCGTAAGCAAACAAAAGAAAGACCCAGTGCTGCTTCAGGAAGTGATGACCCTCGATCTTAACTGCTCCAGATATTTTAGTATTTATGGTAAACCATCTCTTACTAAGACAAGACAGAATGTCGCACCTAAACTGCCTGCTGTTTGCAGTGGGGAGCGTCCTTCAGGCTGACCTTCCCTGGGCTCTAAAGAATTCCCTCCTGGTGGGGGGTTACAATTCACCCAGACGCAAAAGGGGAGGGAGGCACGAGCAGTGGGCGCCTCCAAGGAGAGCCCTGATTGGTTTCTAAGGAACTGGCTTCCCTAGAAAGGGAAACCTGAAAACTTAAACATATTAACTTTGGAAAAGAAAAGCTTGTACAAACATCTCCAGACAAATCTGAATGTAACACCTGCCCCGGTGGTGCCCACAGATCGTCTGGGGCGCTGGGCTTGTGTCAGAGCTGTGCTGCCCCGCGCTGCCCCATGTGGAGGCCCTGGCCACGTGGGGGCTGTGGGGCGGTGGCAAGTGTGGGGGAGGGTGTGTGCTCTGAGGTGCACGCAGCTCTGGGTCCTGCCTCCAGGGAAGCAGGGGAGGGGCAGACAGGCATGGCACAGACAGGGAGGTGAGTGGGGACCAGGCGCCTGGCTTCTCCCACAGGTCACCGGCACAAAGTGGGGGTCTTCTCAACAAGACGAGATGGGAAGAGGGGTCACGGCCACGTGCAGTGAGCAGATTGTGTTTGGAGCCCAATTTGAACAAACTGGGTATTAACAGGCACTTCAGGCCACGGGGCCAATTCAAGTACATTCTGGTATCAGAGAACAGCAAGGGCTACAGATCCTGTCTCTGTGGCACCGTGTGGGGAGGGGCCCTCGTGCTCCAGGGGTGCACGCAGTCCTGAGGGAGGCTGCCAACATCAGGCCCGCGCGGAAGTACTACAGCACCAAACGCAGAGAAGGGAAAGGACAGAGGCCATGAGCAGGTCCAGCTCCAGCAACGCTGACTGGGGGGCGGCAGGGGTGTGTTTACTCCCCGTTCTGCTTTTGCATATTTTGCAAACTTTCTAAATAAAAAGCTAAAAAATCAACTCCAGAAACTGAAGTTTCATTGAGGAAACAACACCCCTTTTCAGGAAGCCCTGGCAGAAGCTGGCGGAGAGAAGCATTTCCTCGAATCTCCAGGACAAGAGAGTGGCGAGGCGCCTGCCGCCGTCCGCAGCCCTGGCTGTGCTGGGGAGCAGGGCTGGCTCTAACCCAGCCCCGTTGGGCCTGCTGCCCAGACACTTAAAACAGGACAGCGTAGGTTGGCTAAGGGCAACACCCCAGGCACATTCATTAGAAGACAGGGCGCCATCCTGACGACTAAGGTCTAGGAAAAGCATTTCACACGTAACAGATAGTAACTCCTCACCACACAGATCCAAGGTCTGCTGTCTGAGTGACACCAAGGGGAAAACAAAGTGTCTGGAACATTCCACCTGGTGGTTCCCAACTGTCCCCGCCTACTGCCCTTCCACCCAGGTCGCAACATCTCTTCACAGACACTAGTCAGCCAACACGATGCCACGCCACAACACCTCCACGCTGCATGGAGGGCAGGCCCCAGGGATAAGGGGTGGGCACATGCCAAGCGCTAGTCTCGCAGACCACAGTAATGAGACTGCACCATAGGTTTAAGGCAGCTACAAACACAGAAAATCTATACATTCAACAAAAGGCCTCTGCTGGTGTTCAATCAATACTGATGACAAAAGAAAGACTGCTCTCGCGACAGCGGGCTACTCGGTATGTGCTCATGTGCCCCCAAGGCAGAGAATTCGAGGTCCTGCACAGGAACAGAGGGGGGGGCCTGCAGTTACCAAGGGACACTGAAGAAACCTGGCCTTTAACATGGCATTGCTCTACTAGCTGAGACCGTAAGGAATAAGCTACAGAAACCCAAAAAACAAAACCCAATCTGTGGACTGATTTGACAAAGTCAACAGTGTCCGTCCGGGTTTCCCCTCCGACGTCCACAGATGGACACAGTCGGTGCTGTGGGCAGCCGCCCGGACTTCACAGTGGCGCGGGTCACAGCACCGGCAGTGTGCCCGCCTGCTGGGCATGGCCACCTCAGCCTGTCTGCTCATGTGACCTTTCCCACGGCCTCAGAAATAGACTCCATCCATGATGGGGCGTGTTAAAAACAGCTGGGGACTGTCTACCACACACCACCTGACCCGACGGAAACGACATTCCCATAGGAAACGACATTCCCATACCAAGAATGAACATCTAAGCCCTCGACCTGTGCAGAGCTCCTGGGGTGCTGATTTTTAGTGAACAACCCAATCGCTGGGTCTGAAGGAGTCAGCTCCGGCGAGAGCTTGCACGCCAACCCTCGGGCAGATTTGTGTGTCTGGTTCTGTTTTCTGCAACCAAGTATCTTATATTCCTATTAAGCTAGATAGAAGAAAACAGTTCAAACTTACATTGCATTTAAACGAAAACTTTTCTAAGCCCACTAACTAAACACAGCACTGCTTCTGGATGAAGCCTCAGGCACAGAGAGCGCCCCGGGCAGTGCCAGGGACCCCGCCATGTGCAGGGGCAGAGCCCAGCAGGTGGCAAGCTGCAGCCTCCACGGCCTTTCCCAGGGTGTGGGCTCTGCAGGGCTTACTCGAGCTTTCGTGCGGTGGCTGGACAAATCAAACAAAACCTCCATCCTAATGAGGCATGAGCAGCTTCATCTTAAAAAGCAGCTGTCGGCATAAAACACATATTCCATTAAAGGCCAATGTGAATGAGAACTGTGTAACATTCAACACGTACAGCACCAGTTTTTAGTTGAACCAAAGCATATGCCAGAAAAATAAAGCTGTAAAGACTAACTGATCAGTCCCTAGCCAGAAATACTTATCTACCTTAAGCCTTTTAACATCATTCTAAGGAAAAGTTTTATCCTTTGAGATTCAAAACAGAATGATCAGTCAGAGGATTAGGAACAAGAAGACTCTCCAGCCATGAACACAGAATCCCTTCCTCGTCTACAAGCTAACCGCCTGAGCTCTCACTGCACTTGAGTGTGTGGCTGGGCTGTCCTGAAAGGGAGCCCAGGACTGGTCAAGATGGGTTTTTATCTATCCGCTCTCCTGGAGTCAAATCCTTTATGCTCTGCACATCGAAAATGACTCTCTCCCCACTTGTCTGTGCAAAAGGGCTGCTGAAGAAAAGGCTCATGTCTAGGGGGGCCCCCGCCTCAGCGCCCCAGGAATCTGTGTCTGTGCTGCTGGAATCCTCGGCCGTGGTGGGTGGGTAGCTGAGCTGCTCTAACTGGTCGATGATGTCCGAGAGCTGGAAGGCTGAGCTGGCCTCGGAGCGGACCGAGCAGGCTGGGAAGTTGGCCATGGAGCTGGCCTCGGACTGACTGGCCGAGCTGGGGGTCCGCACGGATGAGCCGCCGTGAAGGGGCAAGTGGCTCAGAGAGCTGTTCTCGGACTGGTTGTTCCTCAGCGAGCTGGTCTCCGAGGGGCTCAGCAGGCTCTGCATCAGGCTGGCTTGTGCTTTCACCTCAAACAGCTCGGAGGTGTCTGAGGGGTGCACATCGCCACCAAAGCCACCCTCTCCCTCCAATTCAAAACCGTGCTCTACATGCACGTGCATGGCCTCAGTGGGGTACCTGTCTGGGCTGGATGGGGCGGAGCCTGGGTGGGCACAGGAAGGGGCTTGTGGGCCTAATGCACAGTAAGGGAAGGAAAAGGCCTCTGAGCCTCCAGCAAAGAAGGAGATGTCTGCCGGGTCATCGTCTATGAACTCTTCAGACACCTGCAGCCGGGTGTTTGTCAATGTGAAAACAGGCCCCCCCGCACTATCCTGCCGGCCATGTGGATGCTCCCCCATGGGGGGGACTGGGCCCATGATTAAGCCACTGCCACCCCCACGGTCGCTTTTACCAGCGGCTCTGCGCTCCCTGCCAGCACCCCCTGCATCTGGGTCTACAGTGGTGTCGTGACTCTGCCCCATAGGACGGCTGGGGCTACAACTCCTGACAACACGACAAAACCCAACACCTTGACAAGGCTGCAGCGCAGGAGGCCCCGGGGACTGGGCCCGTCGGGTGTCACTGTCGGCTGCCACTCCGCTGCTCCTCTCTGCAGCTGGCCTCCTGGCGTCGGGAGCCTGGGGCTCGGTGAGGGAGTTACTGCTGTCTTTGAAATCGGGCGGGCCTCGCGGGGCCAGAGGGGAGGTAGGAACTGAATAGAAGGAGACATTTGTTGAAGATGGGGACGCAGAAGTCCTCATGCCCTCGGTGAATGAGATGCTCTAGGGATCACAAGTGAAGAAGAAAAAGGAACACATAAAATTACAAATTACCATTAGAAAGTTGCAGAGCTAACTGGACCCAACCTAGTAGGGCCACACATTTCTATCTCAGCCTCTGCTAAAAAGGGCAATCGACCACACTTTCCCCATTAGAACTGAAAATTTGTAAATACAGACAGGATTCCAGAAGGACCCAGGACTATCTGTTTAAAATCCCTTATAATTTCATTTTTTCTCCTATGTTATTAAATATCTACAATGAAGAACATTTCCATCATGAAAACCTAGCCATGTGCACTCATGTCTCCCGGGTGTCCCGTGTCACCCTTAAGTTGCATTAGGACGTGTTGGGGACTCATTTCTGGGGGCCTGTGAGCCAATACCACTGAGCTCACAAGACCCTAAAGCAAAGCACCACAGGCGACACATACATCCAGATTCTGCTGCACTTGGCCCTCACTGCTCAGCACGTCACTGCCAGGGAGCAGTGACGTGCGCTGGTACGTTCACACAGGCAATGAAGACCAGTGACACAAGGGCCGGAGGCATTTCGGCAGGGCTGGCGCAGCCCCCAGTACGAGTGAAAAGAGGCTCACAGGCCGGGGGGGCGGGGTGCGGGGGAGCCCGGCCCTCACTTGTAGCCCCACACACAGGGACATGGAGTGAGTCCTCACAAGACACAGTCATGCCTCTTGGAAGCTCCAAATGACATGTACACTCGCAACATTATCAAGAGGGTGTTTAGACCAAAATATCACCCCACGGTCCTGAGTAACGTGTGTGTGCAGCATGGGCAAATGGTGAGGTAGAAGCCATAGTGGTGACCGACCAGAAACAAAACAGCAGCTCTCAAGCAACAGGTTAATGTGCTCAGATGCTCATCACATCACCTTTTCCTCATCATTCAACCATATTCAACATTCTCTTGTGGTTTTATAAAAGACAGTATCAGGGGAGCCTGGGTGGCTCAGTTGCTGGACATCTCCCCAGTGCAGGACTTGAACTCACGACCTCCAGGTCAAGAGGTGCCCGGCTCTCCCGACTGAGCCAACCAGGTGCCCCCATTCATACTCCTTTAGACTATTCAAAATGTTGAACTTTGTTAAAAAAAAACAAAACAAAAATAAATTCTTTTAAATTTCAGTTGATTTAGCAAAAAATTTCTAAATAGGAAACATACCTAGAAGAGCTAAAGACTGTTTTTATTTAAAAGACCTGGGCGCCTGGGTGGCTCAGTTGGTTAAGCGACTGCCTTTGGCTCAGGTCATGATCCTGGAGTGCCCGGATCGAGTCCCGCATCGGGCTCCCT